TAAGGTTAGGGTTAGGATTAGGGCCAGGGTGAGGGTTAGGTTTGGTAAGGTTAGGTTTTGCATAATGGAAGTAACATATTAACAACACATCTACTTAATGTGAGTAATGTATCAACAGAACATCTACAAGATATTTACTTCAGTGTATTCAGATGCTTCACTACTGCTGCTTCACTGATATGTTGATGATGTGTTACTGATAATCTGTTAGGAGTTTAATAATCATCTACAAAGACCACTCTAAATACAGTGTTACTAATCTTGGAGCTGCCCATGGGTCCTGGACAGATAAGGAGTTACAATACATTCATGTTGAAGTGGTACATGCAGGGCATTGTACAGCAACATTGTCCCCATTTGACCATCAACATTACATACATACATACATAAAACGTTCACTGGTCATTTTTGATAGTATCTAATGGTCATGTTTGCGTATTTACATATACGTTGCGACCCCTGGTTCCTATCACCACCCCTGTAAAGAAATCTGAGTCTCTACAATCAACCATTTCATACCAAACCACCCTGAATGACTTTGTCTACATGTAAACCACTGAATTATGCAGCAGTGTTGAAAAATCAGTAGAATACCCTTTTAAATGGTGAAAGCCAAACCTCTCACAGCTTGTCCAAACACCTGCACGTGACTTGGCACATCTTCTTAAGTACAGCACACCAAGCACGTTTCTTCCAAAATCACTGCCGACCATTGTGGCACATCCTGCTCTGAAGTTTCACCTCTTTCGTCGACATGCAGCTCCAAGTCGCTCTGTCGGTGTGCCTGGATCTCTGCCGACACAGCCTGAGATTTGGCCATGTAGAAACCCAGCTGATGTGTCCTGCCTGTTTCCAATTAGCCAGAATGTCATAATATTTTACAACATCGGTTCCTGCTCCCCCAAAGTGAGATGTGAGCGCAGGCAGATTTAATTCTAAACAGGCTTGGGCCCAGGCCATACCCCCTAGTGTCGCAGGCTCACACTACAGCTCCCCTGCCGAGTGGTCCTGGGACCACACAGTGATTTATCTGCTCAGCTTATTTGCTCAAGTGAGAGGTTCGAGGATACTTCTTGTCACAAACGCTGAGTCGAAAGTGCTAAGCTGTTGTATTATTCTAAGCTGGACAGCTGGTTTGATTTATTAAATAATCCATACTGGGGTTGTATCCGCTTAAGTGCAGTGAAGATGCAGCGCAGAGGGCTTCTTTCCATTAAGATCCTCAAAGCCCACATTACCAGTAGTGGTAGTACTAACTTCTTGTCCCGATGAGGAAATTTTGCCGTGACATTGAACAGAGACCGATAACAATATCCCTCAAAACTGTGGCGAACAGCTCAGCTTTAGTCAAAATATCTACAATTGCAATTTCAGTTAATGTTTATTTTGTACGCATGTGAAGGTCACACTGTTAGGACAGATTAGATGTGGTGTTTCTGTCAGGTGGTCGAGCTAAAATTTGTTTGCTAAAAAGTTCTGTGTTGCTGTAATTTAGTTGATTAGCTATAACAATGTTGTCCAGAAGCACTTTAACCATATCTGTGTAGAGACCTTGGCAGTGGCCCTTAAACTGTCACCAGAGGAGCTACGAAGTGTGAATGTCCACATTGGCCTCTGTAAAATCGCCAGTGTGTGTAATAATCCCCCTCCCCCTGGTATATGGGGGGTCCCATGTTGACTGGCTATTACATTTACCTTTACATTTACAGCATTTAGCAGACACTCTTATCCAGAGCAACTTAGAAAAGTGCTTTGTCGTCTACTCAGAGAAAGTCTCTTTGCTAGTTACAAACAGGTTAGAGTAAAAAGTACTTAACTCAGTGCTCACTTAAGTGCTGTAAAAAGAGATGTGTCTTCAGTCTGCGTTTAAAGACCGCAAGAGACTCTGCTGTTTGGACAGCCAGTGGGATTTTGTTCCACCACCTGGGCTCCAGGACAGAGAAGAGTCGTGAAGCTTGTCTTCCATGGCAGGTCAAGCCGAGCTGTACTTGAAGCTCAAAGGGCTCGAGGTACAGTTCTAGTTTTGATCATTGCCATTAGGGAGGGAGGGGCTGGTGCTTTTTTGGCTTTGTAGACATCAGGGTTTTAAATCTGATGCGTGCAGCTACAGGAGGCCAGAGAAGTTCTAGTTTGGTAATGTGCTCATCCACACATTAATTGAGATCTTACACAGCTCTTCTTCGGTCTTCAGTTTGAGAAATGGCTAACAGTTGAATCTTTCTACCTGACTCTTGGGAATCTGGGCAGATTTTCAGATTCACTACTATGTTATGGCACATTGTAAAGTTTTTTAGAGGTGTTCCAAGCGTAGTTATAGTTGCTAGGTTATAAAGGACCAGCTCATTGAAGCAATTTGCTGCAGCGCCACCCTCAAGCAGACCAGTGCTGCAGCGCTAGTTAGTTAAGAATACTAAAGATAGACGCTCACCAAATGTTGCTGAACCAGCTAAACAATGAATTTCCCTGAATTTGTATTTGAATGGCTATTTTTCCCTAATGGCCAACATAATGTTATAATGCGTTTATTTTCGGCGACCCACCAGAATTTTGATGTTGAGACATTCAGGTGGTTTAGAAGGACCTCTCAGGACCTCCTGTATTTCACACCGTGACTATCAATACATAAAAGACAACAAATGTGTGACTTATATTTCGAAATGAGTGTTTTCTTGTTCAAAAATAGTTTGAGACAAACCAAATAAAGATCTACAGATTTTTGGATTTCTGATATCACATTCTTTCCATATCAATTAGATAAAAAAAATCAAGTTATTAAGTGACAAAAGCCACTTAAATAGGAATATTCACATTTTTTGCATCTGTCTGAAAGGGTTAAACTAGACACACTGCATTATAGTAACATATCATATATATAGTATATAGTAACATTCCAATACCGATACTGAAACCGTGAGTATTGGCCAATACCAAGGCAATATTTGTTCTTTAAAAGCTGCTAAGCTTTAAAATGAGAATTTTTTAACTGAAGCGCTTCACTCTAGGTGAGCATCTAAAAGTAGACTATCATGCTGAAACTACCCAAATGCTCTGTGGCTGCGTGTGAATAGCTGAATGAAATGTCCTTTCCTGTATGACTTCCTTGTTTTTGCCTGATCTGGTAGCCATGTGGATCGACATGCTACTCAGTTCTGCCGGTGTATTTAGTGAGGCCATGGGATAGAAATCAGGCAGAATTAGAGAAAAGCAGATAGGAAAGAATGTTTCATTCAACTACTTGGACCCAAACGACTACCTCACAGGCAGAAAGAGAAAGCTAACAACATGACATCACACAGTGTGAGTGAGTGCCATTTCATGATACACTGCAGGAAAATATAGTTTGGCAAATCTAAATCTTAAATCTAGCCAATATTTTTAACATTGCTCATTTTTATATTGGGATTGTGAGAGTATTCCAAGATTGACAAATGCATTTCTTAAAGCAGGCTGTCAGTATAGTGAGATAATTTTACCTGAAAAATGACTTAAAACAAGTCACAAAGGTTTGGAAGTAAATAAAGTAACTTGTTTTTAATGAAAGTGCTCCAACATTTGGCGTCAGTGCGCCTCACCACTTAGCAGCTTCCAGCACTGCTCAGTTTCCATGGCTTGGCACTCATTTCCCATTACTGCATTGCATTAAACTCAGAACGAGACTGAAAGTTGACTATATGGTTGAAATTTACACAGAGAAAGTCACTCAATTTGAAATCTTTAAGAACAGACAAACAGACAAATGCTAATCGTTTGTTACCTCAGCTAGTGAGCCTAGTCGCATTGTAACTTGACCTCATATCTTTTTGCTCGAAAACAGTTTGTGTGGAAGTAGTTAGCTGATACCAAATGTGATAAATTCAGTTGGTTGTGTTAAGTTTTATTCCACAAGTTAAGTGTAAAATTAACTTCAGCTTTATGATTATCGGCGCCTCACTGCAACGCATTCCAGCTGCACTGTCCACTGTCTGCGACACGACACTACGGTACGCGATGCTAGCGGAGTGTGGTAGCCTTAATAGAAATGCTAAAAATTTAGCCATCCAACATGAACAACATGAACATATTTTGTAAGAGTTCTTTAAAGCATTTCCACAACAGTTTCACAACACTGTGGACCTGCTAAATGGTAAAATGTTTAACCTCTTATGCTCCTTGAGACCACCGGTGGTTCCAAAACACACTTCGTCATATTCTTCATAACTTTCATATTTCATAAGCTACATTAAAAAGGTGGGGGTCATATGAGAGCTGTAACTGTCTTCTTTCCAGTCAAATAGATGGGTGATGTAATTTTAATCCCTTATAATAAAAGAAGCTGAACTCAATTTTTTTTTTTCTACTGAAAGTCGACCCATTTTTCCACAAATCTGGGCTATAAACTATAAACAGATGGCGTCTCTTCAGTGATCTGCTCTGTAAAAATTATTTTTATAAAATAATACAAAGAGCGTCTAAGATTTTTGGCTTTCAGCAGTAAATTGTAAGCATATAGCAATATGTGTGATCATAAAACACATTTTCACTTAATTTGAAAGGAGCTTTTACCAAAAAAAATAAAAAATAAAAACAATTTGCATTCATTTCATGCAGTTACTGAATAATTCGTATGTTAACTTCCATACAACACTGCTAGTCTGGTGCCAACACGTCCTACATTCATGCTAAGAGTCGATTTGCTACTTGGTAGCGTGGCACACACTCTATCCCGGCAGTGCTGAGGCGGGTTCAGTAATGCAGGCTGAAGTGTACGCGTCGCCTGTCTCGGTTATTTAATGTGCTGTGATGGCACAGAGCCAGCCACCACTGTGTTGTGCGAACAGAGCGATGTGCAGCGAGGTGAGTGTGGGAGGAATGAAGGGTTTGCCTTCAGGATCGTCGTGGAGTTCCTGCTCAGTATGTGTTTGGGGGCGGGGGTGTTCCCTCCTGCCTGACTAGAGGCCTAATGTTGTTTGTTCTAACTAGCTGAGAGCAAAGTGATTTATTGGCCATCCTGTCTCTTACAGGTCAATAGCAGACTAGAGATGCTGAAAAAGAAGATTGAATGGTGCTGGACAGTCCCTCTGTTTCTGCTGTCGGCTGTAGCCCAGGTAAAACTTTCCATCTTCATTTCCACTAACAGACATTGTCCTTTCTGACTGAATCAATTGGTGATTTTAAAGCAGGGCTCTTCACTTCCTATCCCATGCTATTCCCTTGCTACTTTCCTATTTGTTTTCCTTCTGTTCCTTCCTGATATTCCAGAATTAACTCATCAGCTTTAATCAGTAGTTTGGCGTGAAATCAAATGTACACAATTTTCTTCTTATCCCAAAGGTGGTACATCAGACAAGACACGTTTTGTGGCCAGTTTTAGTTTTGTGATGGAGCAAGTGGGTTAATTTAGCTAACAAAATGGAAATATTATGGACAAAATATAAGCTGCTTTTGACAATGATAGTATGTCTTACAGTGTTAGAAACCACATAAGCAAGTTAATTTAAGATTACCTAATGGGACGCTCCAGCCTAAAACTAGGATTTAATGTTGTTGGTCATGTTACGTAACATTCTGTAGTGCACTATTGTATCCCTCAGCTTCATAGATTGGTTGGAATTCACAATTTTGTATCCCTTTTGTGTTTCATCTATCAATGTTCTCTCACTATGATACCCAGCATGCATTGCGCACATGCATCTTATGACCACTGGGAATCCCTTTGGTGTCAACCAATTCTAATTGCTAATCTAGCCACAGAGCTGTAGGCTGAGAAATACGAACAAGCTAAAATTAGTGTATCTCTTTTCTCAGTTGTTGAACAAAATTATACAGCAATTTAATCTTTATTTAGCACAAAATGGACACCAGAGACAAGTTTTTTACCCTTTACAGCCAGGGCACGTAGCCAAACGTAGACAAGGTAAGTACATAGCTAGGTACCTTACTAACTGTAGTCTGTAGTCTGTTGTCCGCCTGGTCTGATGAGTCGTTTCTGTTATTCTGTTATTGAAGACAGTTACTACAGTTACACGGCTGCAAAAACGAATTTGACATCCCTTATAAATAAAAATAATGCATGGCCACGACTTAGTAAGGAACGGGAGCAAGATAATTAAGTCATGTCCACAAATTAGTAAGGTGTGGGAACGAGATCCTAATGCATGGCCATGTCTTAGTAAGGTGTGGCAATGAGATAGTTAAGCCTCGACCACAGCTTAACAAGATCATGCCTTATTAAGCTGTATTTATCTCGCTCATTTATCTCGTGGCCACACATTAGGATCCACCATCCACCCATGCCTTACTAAGTTGTGGCGACGACTGAATTATCTTGTTCCCATTCCTTACTAAGTCGTGGCCATGTATTATTTTTATTTATAAGGGATGTCACAAGCAGGGTTCCGTTACATTTTTCATTTTGGCCAGTGTGTCCACTTAAGTCTTACAGCCCTTAGGAATGTCCCTCATAGCAATAAAGAACTTCACTCCTCACTGTTAGCGTCTACACACATGTAAAGGCTAATAAACACAGATGTGAGGTTGCGCAGTATTCCTAGCCGTAACATTAGCTGTCTGACTTCCTCCTGCATTAGCCAGCTAGCATGGGAAAATCTTTGTATCCAATCCAAAGTTCCTCCCACCTTCAAGATGCATCATCAGAAGGGGTTTTCCTGGTCTTTAAACTGCCTCTAGAGACTGTTGTGGTACTACTGAGGTGAGGCATATTTACAACAGTTTTGGTCACAGTGTCAGTTTAACAACTGGGTTGAAGTCAAGTGTGCAGTGATTCAGGCTTGCAGTTTACGTGATGCTAACTGGTGCGCATAAGCTTCCTTTACTTGTTAGCTACATTAGCCTTGTTGCTCCAGCGCAAAACTAACGTCAGACATAAAGTATGTCTTGGCTGATCATAACTTTGGGACACTTATTTTGGCAGAACTGTCTACCCTGCTGAAAAGAAACAGCACAAACAAGCATGAATTCCATGCTCTGCTGGTTTAGCTGGTCACCCAGCGTGGTCATGTTGGTTGACCAGCATACCAGCATTCAAAACACACCATATGCAGGTTTTGCTGGAGACTTTTCTAACAGGGTCTTCAACAATCTAAACAAGAGCAGGACTGGAGAACTCACTCTCACACACACACATATTACATAAGCCGCTTATCCTCCTGGATCATGGGGGTTGCTGGAGCCTGTAACCAGCAGTGATTGGACGGAAGGCAGGATATACCCTGGACAGGCTGCCGTAGACATGTACATTCACACCTAGGGGCAATTTAGCATCTCCAGTTTGCCTGACTGCATGTCTTTGGACTGTGTAAGGAAACCAGAGCACCCAGAGGAAAACCACACAGATACAGGGAGAACATGCAGACTCCATTCCAGAGGGACCCTGGTCACCCGCCCGGGGAATTGAACCCTGGCCCTTCACCGTGCTGCCCACTGTTCTAGTAAAACATGTTTAGAAATCCTGTCTCAGTGTTCTGTTGTTCAGTGTTGTAACTGCATGTTTAAAAATCTGTGTTTAAGTCAGTAAGTGTGAAACAGGCCAGGAGAGCGCTGTTGAGGAAAGGCCTAAATGATGCTGATCTATTGTGTCATAATCTGTTACTCTGCAGTGCATTGAGGGTCAGGAGTTGATAGCAGCCTGGCTGCTTGCTCATTCTCCTTCAGTCTAGTGCAAAGTGATTTTTTTGTCACGTTTAGGAATCATCAGAAAACTGAACGTGCTCTTTTTATGATCCTCTATGACTTGCATTGTTAAAACGAATACGCAGGCAAACCATATGTACGCTCGACTGCTTTGCACCATTTCGTTTGTATGACTTCTATTTTCTTTCTACTGCTGATAGCCTTTCAAGTCACCAAGGCTTAATGCAACATAATCTAAGCTGGAATGTAAAGAGTCTTCATGTTGTGTGCGTGTGTCTGTGTGGTCTCTATGTAGGTCACTGTGTTGGCCAGCCCTGAAGTAAACGACAGCCAACAGCAGACCCCTCAGAATGTGTACCACGACATTGGCTTCACCAGGAACAAGATAGTGACTGCACAGTTTGAATGCTATCAGAAGATTATGAAGGACAATAACAATGTGGGAAAAGGTATGAAAGACTAAAGCAAGTAAATGCTATGTAGTAAATGCTGGGAATTAAATGGGAATTTTATCAGTGCAGAATTGAATCACTGGGATATAAATCATTCAGAGTGGTTTGATGTGAAATGGTTCATTGTAGAGATGACAGGAACCAGGGCTCGTAACGTCTACAACACAAACACAAAGCCATTTTATTTACTATCCAGATTGACCAGTGATCGTATATACATACATACATACATACATACATACATCATCTAAACCGCTTATCCTTCTGGGTCGCGGTGGGGTGCTGGAGCCTATCCCAGCTGTCATTGGGCGGAAGGCAGGATACACCCTGGACAGGTAGCCAGTCCATCGCAGGGCAGACAGACAGACATACACATTCACACTCACACCTAGGGGCAATTCAGCAATTCCAATCAGCCTGACTGCATGTCTTTGGACCGTGGGAGGAAACCGGAGTACCCGGAGGAAACCCACGCAGACACGGGGAGAACATGAAAACTCCGTGATCGTATATGTATCTTCTTAATTTTAATATGTAATGTTGATAATGTGAAAATATTGTTGATATGTGAAAATATTGATTAATCTGAAAAAATCAATTGTCTTAAAGACTATCATGTCTTAGACTACTTGTAGCCAAGAATGGCTTTTAAAAAAGAAGTTTTAGCCCAAACTCTTCTCTCAAAACTATCGTAAAACAGTGTCTCAGACATCAGGCAGCATATTCATAATTTCACATAATAACAGTGAAGGAGCTTTTAGAGGTGGATGTCTGGTTCCTATCACCAGCACTGTTGACAACGCTGCAAGTTTTTCTAGAACAGAGTGATGAGGTAAGTGCAATGATTTAGTCATGCAAGTTGCCCCAATGCTAATTGGTGGTCAAGCGGTTCCATTATTATTAGCTACATTAGCCTTGTAGCTCTAGTGCTGAACTAAATAAGCACAAATCAGACAGATAGTTAGGAAAACAAATTAACCAAAGGCTCGACTAAACAGGTAAGTTTTTAGCCTAGACTTAAAGATGGAGGCTGTGTCTGAGTCCCGAACACAGACACAAGCCTGTCAAGCCTGTAAGAATAGAAGAGTTTTTTAAAAACCTTTTTAAGAAGGTTCTATATAGAACCGTCTGTAGCGTGTTCATGCACGTTTTCCATCAATCTGAAGAACCCTTTCATAATGCAAAGAACCCTTTAATCATACAAAGTGAGGGACACCGCCAGTCGTGTGGTTCAGCCCTGCACATTTGAGCCCCTCTGTAGAAAAACTAGGCTCTCCTCAGCTGCTCTCTGACTGGGTAGTAACAAGTGCAAAATTGAGAGCAAGCTGTCTAATAGTCATTTTAGAGATCTAATTACATCCATCCATCCATCCATAATCTAAACCGCTTATCCTTCTGGGTTGCAGTGGGGTGCTGGAGCCTATCCCAGCTGTCATTGGGCGGAAGGCAGGATGCATGTATCTGCAGGATATTACATGTATATGATAATATTGAAGACCTTAGCCTTTCATTTTCTGATGGATATATCACAGACATACTGTGTCCGATATTTGAGCACCCAGAACTTATGTTATATCAGTAACCTAAAGCTAGCTGGCTAACTGCTGGGCCATGCTCCTCAAGCGAAGGTCACACAAGCTCCCATCGTAAGTCGTCATGGTCCAACTTGGGTTTTATTCCTACTTTTAAGGTGGACCAGTTTCAATTGCACTCACACACACATTATCGAAGCCACTTATCCTTCTGGGTCGTGGAGGGTGCTGGAGCCCATCCCAGTGCTCATCGGGTGGGAAGGCAGGAAACACCCTGGACAGGTTGCCAGTCCATCGCAGAGCTGACAAACAGTCATATACAATCACACACACCTTCACACCTAGGGGCAGTTTAGTGTGTCCAGATGGCCTGACCCCATGTCTAGTACCCAGAGGAGAACATGCAAACTCCAAACAGAAAGGACCCTGGTCAATCAGTTGCACTCTACAAACAAATTTAGAAAGGCTTAAAAAACCTGCTTGCTGGGAGTTTTGGCTGAGACTCGGAGCAGCTGGAGATCAGTCACTTTAAGCGAGGGAGATGAGTGCGAGTAGCTGACGTATACATGTTGCTAGCTCTGATTGGTACTTTGGCAGATCTGATGTCACCTGCGCCAAATATAGCAACACCCAACTCAAGTTGAACTGAAGAAAACAGCAGAAAAAAGTCATTTACAAAACAACAGAAAATACCAATAGAAATATCACAAAAACTGTAGATCATAGAAAAAACGTAAAGATGAGTAGACAGGGGCTTTAAAGGGAACACTGAGTAAATTAGATTTTTTGCGAAAATATTTAATTAATGTGGCCCAATAAGAAAAGCAAGAAAAACGTTTGTCTCTAACGCACAGCAGAGTCTCGGCTTCGGGGGATTGAGTGTGTTGGCATCATTATAGGTCGAGTGCTATGAGGCAGAGGTGTCAAGCAGCAGAAAAGAAGCAGCACTGAGGTGTTCGGCGAGCTTCTCGTATATATATGCAAATCGTGACATTAATTCACGTTGTCTCACGTAATTAACGCGGCGAGTACACAGTGAAATTAAAAGCCTCGGGTGCGGTGAGCGGATCGTGCCAGGGAAAGTGATGCTCAGCGCCGACTCTAGTGAAATTTACTCAAACTCTTCAAAAATGATGGAGAGAGCATTTGTGGATAGTGATGATTAAAAGCGCGGTGGGTGGATGTGTGTGTGTGGGGGGGGTGTTCTTATGTTCCTAAAGCCTGAGAAGGTCAAAACAAATCAGCTGGAATCACTACATCAGAATAACTGACATTCATAGCTCTTGTTTCTAAAGTTGCTTTTTGAAAGTCCCTCTCTTAAGTGCACCACGTTTTAACTGAGCTTTTAAACAGTCTAGTTGTGACTGCAATAACATGGTGTATTTGAAAAGCTTTCCTAGCTCCTGCGTCTTTCAGATAACAGGCTGAATTAGAACGTCAATCTAACTCAAGTCGACAGTTTCTTGCACTTTACTTTGATGCTAATCCCTATAGCTAAACTACAAATGCTCAAATTGTTAATTATTTGCTGAAACATAGGGTTAGGTTTAAGTTCCAGCCTAAACTGTTTGTTGTGTTAGACAGTATTCTGTGGCCTTAGCATCATCAGTTTTCATGTTTTTGTTTGTCAGTGTTCTCTCACTACAATAACCAACATGCATTGCACAGGAAATCCCCGTGGTGTCAACCAATCCTGGCTTATACCTTAGCCACTTTTCTGTAGACCAAGCTAGAAGTAGTGTAGCTGTAACCTTGTTGTTGTTGAGCGAAAGAAAACAGCGATTCTGTGTTTACTTAGCACCAAATAGATTCCAGAGACAAGTTTTTACCCTTTTAGGTAGAGAAAAATATAATATTCTATACATATATGTATAGACCTCAATGCTTTAATACTGCTTGAATATATATGAATACATATATGAATATGAATACTGCTTCTTTTCTAAACATTCTGCAAACTAATGTGTATATATATATATATATATGTATATATAGTAGTTTGCTGAATGTTAAGTCTTACAATTGATAACTGAATTACTAAGTGGTTCAAAGGTGCACAAGCCAGATGCAACTAATTGTAAAGCAGGTAATGAGAACAACTGTATGAATCAGTCATTAATGGGGTTTGTGAACTTAAGTAAGTGATGGAAAGATGATATTACTGCTCTGATGAGGTCTTCTACATTGTGATTCCTTACTAATACAGAAAATGTGCAGGTGGGGGTTAGGAAATGGATTGGTCTCCATTTGTCTTAAATTACACTAATGCCTATTTGTTTTTTTCTGGTTGCCAGTTGGACCAATGTGCAACAGGACATGGGATGGCTGGCTGTGTTGGGATGACACGGATGCTGGGTTCACCACTCAGCAGCACTGTCCAGACTACTTCCACGACTTTGACCCTTCAGGTGAAAATTCAACACGTAGCTTTAGGCACACCTAGATTTATCCTAGTTTTTAATAGGAATGAACAGGTTTTCGTTGTTGGTTTGCAAGAACTTATGGTGTCAAATATTATGCATGTTTATTTTGAGGAAAACACTGTTACATGTGTAAATATTTGACGATATTTGCAGTGCTGCATTGGGAATAAACCATCTTTGGACCAAAACAGTTCAAATAGGGCATGGGTGATTAATGTAATCGGACATCATTGATGATGAACTAATTTTACACAGCTTGCTAGGTTAATTAAATAACATGTACAAGTAATGAATGTCTTATTCTCAATGGATTCTTATGGGCCATTAATAAGCCATTGGGTTATGGTACAGTAAATTTTCCAGCGTCTCTGAGACACCATTTGAGAAAAATTCTCTGTACTTTCCGTATAGCTTAAGTGTCCAAATGGTTCAGATGAGTTATACCATACTTAATGGTTTTCAACAGTCATCTATGGCATAATTCTGAAGTGAAAAATCTACAACAAAGCAAAATAGCTTGTTTTTTTTTTTATATGTAAAGGTTGTGGATGTGGTGGAGGAACTCACATATTTACTCAAGCGCATTTAGCAGTTTGATTTCTCCACAAGGGGGAGCTCTTGGCACAAAACTTTGAGTGCACCACGTAAAGAAAAGAAACAGCACTGATAAAATGTCAAATTGAAAAACAAAAAAAAATCATATAATCCAAAGATATCAAAAAGTAGGTGGAAAAATAGCTGTAATGGACTGTGTGTATGCATATGTTCAAGGGGGAGGGGTCAATATAATTGATAATCCTACTTTTTCAACAAGAAGAAACAAGAAGAGTGCTGGTTATTTTAAGATATTGCCTTAGCCTAATTTCAGTATAAGCTTTTATCAGTAGTTTGGGAAATGAAGACTATCAACTCATTATTTAGGCAAAACCTGCTCTTCATACCACGGATGACACTTGGATTAAGCAGAGTGTTGAAGATAAATGCACCCAAATATATATATATATATATATACGTATTTCCTTAATACTAACAAAACCTTTGCATTTTTTAACATATAATATAATCAGGAGCGTCCCGTTCCATTTTTTCTCTCTCTCTCTCACTCTCTCTGTCAAACTCCGTGATGGCTAAAGGCTAAATAGCTTTAAAGCTTTTGATAAAAGACATTCTGTCTCAGTTTCACGCAGAAGAGATTAAAAAAAGAGTTTTTAAGTAAAAGGAAATGAAATGCCTGACTTTGAAGATTAGCTCAAGTGGGATTCGTAATTTAATTTTGACCTCTGGCTAAAAGAAACCAAAGAATAGTTATTGTTGGAGTCCGTAATGCTACACATATAGCGCTTTTTCAAAGCGAGCAAGTGAGAAAGTGGGAGAGGACCTATCATTCCAGCTCACATCCCTCACAATGATAAAAGCAAAAGCTCCAGCTCTTCAAAAAGCCATCGCAACTGGTTCCTGAATGCAAGCCATTAAAAGTAATGTGGCCTGTCAGAGTTAATACCTAATTGCCTAACTGCCTAACCCATTATAACTTTTGTGAGGTTTTATTTATATACACACAGTAACCAGGTACGTTATAAAGAATACCTCCTTGTTTCTACACTCATTGTCCATTTTATCAGCTCCACTTACCATATAGGAGCACTTTGTAGTTCTACAGTTACAGACTGTAGTCCATCTGTTTCTCTGCATACTTTATTACCCCCCTTTTACCCTTCTTCAATGGCCAGAACAGGACCACCACAGAGCAGGTACTATTTGGGTGGTGGATCATTCTCAGCACTGCAATGACACTGACATGTCTGATCCACTTCTACCAGTGCAACACACACTAACACACCACCACCACATCAGTGTCACTGCAATGCTGAGAATTATCCACCACCTAAATAATACCACCTCTGTGGTGGTCCTGTGGGGTCCTGACCATTGAAAAACAGGGCAACAAAGTATGCAGAGCTGATAAAATAGACAGTGAGAGTAGATAGAAAGAGGTGATCCTAATAAAGTGCTCTGTGATTTGTTTCATCAGGGCAATAATCAGAGGTGACTGAACTGGGAAAGTGTCCTCATATTCAAATATTTTCAAGCTCAAAAAACACAAAAATGTGTTCTTTACATATTAAAGTGCAACAAACGCATTGAGAAATCACGTCATTAAAGGAGAGGCTGTATAAAAGGGTTTGCATTCACTGTTCATTCTTTTAACAGAGATGGTCACTAAGATCTGCATGGAGAATGGCCAGTGGTTTTTGCATCCTGAGAGCAACCGGACATGGACGAATTACACCAGATGTAACGAGCGCACTAATGAAGGCAGAATGGTACGTCCAGCAACAGCAACAAGACCCGCAGGGCTATTAAGAATACATCTGAATCACATAGAGTGCCTCTAAAGATAAATTTGGCTTATTTGCTTTGATAGATTTTAGTAAATAAAATATTCACATTGGTAATACATTTGGCCTCACATCCCATCAGTACTTGCTTCTATTGAGGCAATACATAAACTCATAAACTCGCTCATGAACAGAACAACCAATATGTTGGAACAAGTGGAGGAGAATAAAGGGCCACAGTTTATTTTGTTAACAGACTATCTGGTGAAATTCAGCTGATTATTAGTCTTACGGTTAGGCTCAGGTTTAGGATTAGGTGTAGGTTTTGGGTTGAAGTTAAGATTAGGCTTAGTCAATTCAGTTGCATTTAATAGATAGTTAAATGTTGAAGTGTTGTCGAGAGTTTGCAATCAATTATCATGTTAATAACTGCTGTTATTTTATTCAGGACAGTCGAGGATGAATTACTATCAGACGTGTTTTTATGACATTCAGTATTTCTTTTTTTTTTTAATTTGTTGTAATTATCTATTTCCACTAATTCCTCGATATATTTTTTGTACTTGACATTTAATCACCACTTTAAAGTGCAAGGCATTCTGGATTTTAATGTGACCTAATTTTTGATGTTAAACAGCTTTTTTACAATCATATAAAGCTCTTCTCATCATTCCGGATATAAAATATCTTAATTTTTCTACAACTTCCTGCAAATTAGTTGAAGCCTATGAAGTAGTACCATCATAATAGAATCATTCGATACATGCACCTGCAACAAATTGGTTTTATAATTATTGAAAGCTGTCATTTTGAATGGTAGTGTAGTTAAACACAAGGCACATATCTATAGAGCGTCTGCCCAAATGTTAAGAAGACCCATCTTGTCCTTTCAACAAAAATCTAACCACCTTGGGAGCCACAATATTTATGTCCATTTTATTGAAGTAATGTTTTACCATCTGGGCTGTAAATATGTCTCAGTACATGCGAATGTGCTAATATAGGCTAAAAACAAAAATGCAGACTTACTTTTCTCTCATCTCTGGCAGGAAACTTTTCCACAAAAGTAGAATATTTTCTTGTAAAATGTCTGTCACTGTTCAGCTTTTCACGAGGCTGAAGTCAATTCTCATTCGCAGCTTCTTGTTCGAATCTTCCCGTTCCACCTTAAATGGTGCCTGAGGTGCCGGAATGTAACTGCTGCACAATTAAAGGTGGAACCGGAAAATTTGAACAGGAAGCTGGCGAACAAAACGAATTCAGCTTGGAGACTTTTTAGTGTTTGTCAGTTTCTCGTTGCAGATTAAACGTGTCAGGAAACCAGCTGGAGTGATTATAAATGCAAATAAGCCCATTAGTCTCTAAATCATCGATGTTCATCTTAAATCTTTCTCTTTGCTTTTTTGTTAGCTACTAGCTAGGCGAGATTGTTGTCTGTGTTGCTATGGTGACCAGCAGTCTTTGCACCAACCTTCAGGGTTAAAGTGTGAATTAGCAGTTCTACATTAACTCCAGTGTTTAAGACCATTTATTGTTAAACTGAGTTGAACGATCAGCAGAGCTTTATTTTACTGTAAAGGAGGATTATTTTATTTTTACCTACAAATCTAATTCTGCTGTGGAGCCACAACAGGGCAGTTAAAGAGCTGCATGTTGCCGACCCCTGGTCTACAGTGAAAGCTCAACCAACATTATGCAGAATGTTTCAGTGTCGCACATTTTTCATACTGTTTTGAGTGGATGAAAAACATTTGTGGTGCACTGAAAAATAATTAATGTTAACATTAGTATGTATACATTGGTTCTGCATTAATAAAATATAGTATAGTTATCACCAAATATAAATGAAAGACTTCAACTGTGTCAGTGTACTATATTTTATTCATGTGGAACCCAGACACACATCTTTTTAGTGTGTAGAAATAAGCTGCTGCTCTGTTTAAACAAATAAATAAATAAACAAACAAATAAATAAATAGATGCACTGTGCCACGCCACATCCAAAATCTCCAAAAAAGACATTACAGCTTTGCTTGCTTACAGTTCATTTCTGAGCTGAATCTGTGATAAAAATCATGCTCGTAACAGCAGTTGTCTGAGCGGCTGTTTACGTGAAGCAGTAGTCACATGAAAGCACAGAGGAAATTGTTTATAACATGAGTAAACATCCGTTTTTTTTTTGTTTTTTTTTCTACCTCTCTCTTACAGACTGCAATGAACCAGCTCTACTTGGCCTTAATAGGACACGGACTGTCCCTGATCTCCTTGTTTATTTCACTCGGGATATTCTTCCATTTTAAGTAAGTGCTAAGCCCTCTTAAAATCAGCAGAAGAGCAAACTGTAACTTCAGAACTGATGTCCTGTTGACGTTTATTACAACTCTACCTATTCCCCGCAGGAGTCTGAGCTGCCAGAGGATAACCCTGCACAAAAACCTTTTTTTCTCTTTCGTCTTGAACTCCATTATCACCATCATCTGGTTGACGGCCGTGGCAAACAACCAGGAGTTAGTGCAGCGGAATCCAGTAAGAACATACGGGCCTAATGCCTTCGCTCAGTCTACAAGTGAACTTGAGCTGGGGTTTGCGTCATAAGAAATGTGTTGACAGCTCTCTTTTGGAAATCTTTTCCCATTCAGACCAGCTGTAAAGTTTCGCAGTTCATCCATCTGTATCTGTTTGGATGCAACTATTTCTGGATGCTGTGTGAGGGGATCTACTTGCATACCCTCATCGTTGTGGCTGTGTTTGCAGAGAAGCAGCATTTAATGTGGTACTATCTTCTGGGATGGGGTAGGTTCTTATTATTATTATTATTACTATTATTAGATTTTTTATTACTAAATTTAGTGCTGTCAAAGTTAATGTTGCCTTATTAATGCCACAATTTCCTAATGCCATTGATAAATTTTCTTAGTTTGATTCCCTAACAGCGCAGGCTGGAACCTAGCTGCCATGACTCTGCAATTGTAGCCCTCTTATTCAAATATAGCTTTTAAATTGCAAGTTTCCTTGATGGCTATACTGATAAAAGTCATTTCCAGCTACTGCAGTGCCATAAACACCAAAGTACATCAAGTCTAAAATATAATTTATAAGCAAAACACACAGTTGGCAGTTTAGCAGACTACACTGGACATCCTAGGGATAAATCAACGAGCAGCAAACTAACAACAGCTGCAGTAAAGTGGAGCTCCAGAGCCTCCACTGTAACAAAAATCCAGAAGCTGTATGAATGAGAGGAGTTAAACCATTGACTGTATGTATGATATGTGTATGTATGTGTATATATATATATATATATATATATATATATATATATATATATATATATATATATATACATACTACATATACACTCATTGATTGGAACATGCAGACATTGTTGCTCTCACTGCACGTCAATGATAAATAGTGGATACTGTGTTCACTTTGCGTAAGATCATGATATTCTGCATTCACTTGAAAATAATGTTATTGAGTTATTGAAGACTTATTTTGTCCACTCACATGGGTATAACAAAATGCACTACTTGTAAATGGAACAAGTCAAATCAGATCAAAGAAGACAAATGTAATTAATACACAAATGTGGTACGAAGAGATCATGAAAGATCAGGATCTGCACTTTGCGACGTCTAAGGGTTAATATGACTTTTCGAAATCATTTTTCTTTTGATTATCTTGTTTCGTGTAGGTTTCCCACTGATACCAGCTACAATACACGCCATAGCCAGAAGCTATTACTACAACGACAAGTGAGTATTCTTCAGTGTTTATAGCTACTCCACTTCTCTGAAACAGATGCAAAAATAGCAAGCTGAACAGGCTCAAATCATTACAATTTATGAACTCTAGCGTATGGATCACAATAAGACTGCTGTTGAAAAATCACTTATTTATATTCTAATAAGATTAATGAGTGTGTTTACATGTAGTCAATAATCCCATCATAATCTGATTTCTGCAGTTATCTGATTATTCAAATGGTCATGTTAACAGCACACTGCGATTTCTTAGGTCTAGAAATCTGATTTAAAAAATCTGATAAAGAGAGCTGGATTTTAGCTCAGTAATCAGATTTCTCAGTGCATGTAAACTCTTACTCTGATTTCTTTCGGATTTCTCAGTCTAAGCATGTGCGAAACAGACGGCGGTACCGGAAATAAGCGTGCAGCGTCGCAGCAAGACGCAGCAAAGCACTTTTGGAGTGAAACCAACTGCTTGACAAAATGAAGGATTTAAATGTTGTTAATCTTCTAGATGATGTATGTTCATATTTATAGGAAAGTGGTGCGACGTTTTTAGAAAAAGCAGAAGTTTGACTTTTACATTACATTTACGGCACACCCCCTTCTGTGAGTTTATCGGCTGCAAAGCAGAAATCTGATTACTGCCTGACTCATGTAGACCTGAAGTTTCCCATAATCTGATTACTCAAGTGCATGTAAATGCATTGATCGGATTAAAGACAAAATCTGATTTTCTGCAGTTATCGCATTATTCAGTGCATGTAAAAGCACTCAACGTTAAGGATGTGGTACAGCTCATCCTAGATCAGCGCTCTTACTTCCTGACTTACTGCATTTTCTGTGATTTAAAGCCCTTATAAAGCTCTACAGTTTATAAACCAATGATTCCCTGTGCTCTCCTGAAATAAGCAGCTTGCTATAATCCAATGGAATTAAACTAATTACTGCCTAAAATAATGACACTAGTAAAAAAGACTTGTGTCTTAAAAAAAGACCTGCTAATGCTAATCTTTTCCCTCTTTAATACGTAGCTGCTGGATCAGTTCAAACACGTCTTTGCTGTACATTATTCACGGCCCTATCTGCGCGGCTTTGGTGGTAAGCAATCTGGAAGCCCTTTTTTCTAGTTTGTTCCCTGTCATTAATTCTTTTGTGCGCACAACAAGAAAAAGCCATGTTTGAATGCTTGTGGTGCCTGTCAGATCCATTTATCATAAGCCTTAGAAGAACCCTTCTTATATTTTTGCCATTTAAATGTAATATTTGGCAAATTGTGTGAATATGAGGAATGTGAGTTATTGACCTTGTTTGCTTTATCAGTTTTATTTGTACGAATAAATCACGTATAACATGATATTACTTTTACTGGTTGCCTTCCCTGATATGTGACAGTGTCACAAATTGAGACAAATGAGGTCTTACAGTGTTATCCAGTCCAGTTAAAGGTACTAACAGCTGCCACTGTTCTTCACTTCCTCCTTTTGTCACCTGTCACATCAGGTGAATCTGTTTTTCCTGCTGAACATCGTGCGTGTCCTCATCACCAAGCTCAAAGTGACCCATCAGGCTGAGTCCAGTCTGTACATGAAGGCTGTGCGTGCCACCCTCATTCTGGTCCCCCTCCTGGGAATCCAATACGTTCTCCTGCCGTATAAACCCGGAGGACGCATTACCTCTGAGATATATGATTACGTCATGAACATCTTAATGCATTATCAGGTAAGTGTAAAGTGCATACATAAAAAAGTAACGGTAACACTTTCTATGAATGTCACCTTTGTAAGCATCTATAAACGCATTCATAACATGTTATAATGCATGCCTAAGACATTATAAACATAGCTATAAATATTTTTAAAAATGCATTATACATTATAGCCATGTTTATTTTGCATTATGAATTGTTAACATAATACATTATAAGTACTGTTCATAACAAATTATAAGAGCTCATAAGTCATATTTTTCCACTCTAAGTAAAGTGAAGCGTACTGTACTAAAGCCTCCTCCAGTGTTCAGAGTGAGGCTTCAAGTTGAAGTATTTACTGAAGAATTTACTGAAACACTAAAACATACACAATAAAGCACATTACAGGCTTCAAATGTCAGAGTTTAAACTAGTGCTGCCATCAGTGTTTTACCCAGTGTGGGAAAGGTAATGTTCACCACCGTTAGCTTGGTATTTGTCTTTGCTTTACACTCTCCAAGCTGGGACTGACTTCTTTGGCACTGACATTATAACATGTTATTAACACTATTTATACTGCATTATATTAACAGTTCATAATGTATAATAAATATGGCTATAAAATGTTATTCAGTGTAATTCTTTTTTATAAATATTTATAACCATGTTTATAATGCCTTATGAATGCATTATAACATGTTATAAATGTGTTTATAGATGCTTACAAACGTGACATTCATAGAAAGTGTTACCGAAGTAACATTAAGAAGTAGTAACAAAGAAGCACAGCCGTCAACAGAGAGGCTTCCACTTATAGCATTTAGGGTGGCCTGTAGCCTGTTGTTAAGAGAGATGAGGCAGCAACTGGAAGGTCACAGGTTTGAATCCCGGGACTGACTGGACATACCAGGTTGTGCTTTTAACTCCCCCACTGTCCCAGGTGGCACTGCTCTGCTGGTGATGCTATGCTGGGCATAGTTAGCTAGCAAGATGACAAACTTTCCTTGTTCGGTTAAGTACAAAACATTTGTGTGCTTTTGTTAGATTTTTTATTATTACATTAATTATTATTTTAATATTACATGGTCTACTGAAAGTGCCTATATTTTGATGTCGACATTTTGGCGTATTTTGAATGGCCAGTTCAGGTTATAGCAAAATATTATTTCAAACTTCATTTCCAAAGTTAGGACACAGGGCAAATTGTAAATAAAAACAGAAAGCAACGATGTTCAAATCATTTAAATACTAAATTTGATTGAAAATAGTACAAAGACAATATAACAAATGTTGAAACTGAAATTTTATTGTTTTTTGAAAAATATACGCCCATTTTGAATTTGATGTCAGCAACACATTTGAAAAAAGTTGTTACGGGTGCATGTTTACCACTGTGTTTCATCACCTCTTCTTTTAACAACGATCTGTAAGCGTTTGGGAACTGAGGAGACACTGCTGTAGTTTAGAAAGTGATATGTTTTTCCATTCTTGCTTGATATAGGATTTCAGCTGCTCAACGGTTCAGGGTCTCCTTTATCATATTTTTCATTTTATAATGTGCCACATGTTTTCAATGGATGACAGGTCTGGACTGCAGGCAGGCCAGTTTACCACCCAGACTCTTTTACTGTGGGGCCATGCTGTTGTAATACATGCAAACTGTGGTTTGGCATCGTCTTGCTGAAATAATCAAGGCCTTCCCTGAAAAAGACGTCGTCTGGATGGCAGCATATGTCACTCCAAAATCTGTATATATCATTCAGCATTAATGGTATCTTCACAAATGCGCAAGTCACCCATGCCAAGTGCACTAATGCACCCCTATACCATTACAGATGCTGGCCTTTGAACTGTGTGCTGACAAGCTGGGTTTCCCCTCCCTTCTTTAGCCTGGAGGATGCAGTGTCCATGATTTCCAAAACGAATTTCAATTTTTGATTTGTCGGACCACGGGACACTTTTCCACTTCACCTCAGTCCATTTTAAATGAGCTTGGGCCCAGAGAAGGAGGTGGTGTTTCTGGATCTTGTTTTAACTTGCATTGGTGGATGCAGCAATGAACTGAGTTCACAGACAGTGATTTTAAGATGTGTTCCTGAGCTCATGTAGTGATTTCCACTGTAGAAGCAGGTCTTGTTTTTGATGTAGTGCTGCCACTGAGGGCCTGAAGATCACAGCCAGCCAATATTGGTTTTCAGCCTTGTCCCTTGCATACAGAGATTTGTCTGAATTCTCTGAATCTTTTAATGGTATTATGTACTGTAGATGATGAAATCACCATGTTCTTGAATTGTTGCACTATTTACCCATGCAGTCTTTCAGAGAGGGGTGAACCCCTCCTCATCTTTACTTCTGAAAGACTCAGCCTCTCTGAGATGCTCTTTTTATACCCAGTCATGTTACTGACCTGTTACCCGTTAACCTAATTATTTGTGAGATGCTCCACCAGTTTGTATTATTATTACACAACTTTTCCAGTCTTTTGTTGCCCCTTCCCAACTTTTTTTAAATGTGTTGCTGGCATCAAATTAAAAAGTGGGCATATTTTTTTTCAAAATACAAGAAAATTTCTCAGTTTTAACATTTGATATATTATCTTTGTACTATTTTCAATTAAATGTAGAGTTTAAATTATTTGTACATCATTGATTTCTGTTTTTTTTTTATATTTGGCACAGAGTCTTAACTGTTTTGGAAATGAGGTTGTAAATAAAAACCCAGGCATTCTCTGGCACACAGATTTGTTGAGATTTTCAAATATGGCCCTTTTAATGGTTCAGTTTGACACCCCTGGAGAGTGAACAGTACATTTTGTAACAGTGTTTGCATAGTATGTTTTACTATTTTACTACATAGTATGCAAGAAAAATTCAGTTATCCAAGAACCTTTATGCATGTTAACTGAAAAAAAAACATATTTTTGCTTTAATAGCAGGTTAAAGGCAGTAAATTGCTGTAAATGTCAAAATAACACCTACAGTCCGTTCCACAGCTTGTTCAAAGGGCGAGAGCAAAACACTTCCAAATATGCACAGCCTGAGAGAAGGCTTGACCTGACTAAGTTCAGGTCGTTATGTTTGGAAAGTGTGTCTCTGGGGTGTATTTTATAGCCCGTGGCTGATTGGCAGGAAGGAAATTATAGCATGATGTATATTGCGAAGAATGCCATGAATGTTTTGGACAGTTAGGTGCCGCCAGGCCAGGCTCAATCCACTCAGTGCATAATGCAACAGAACAAGCTTGTTGTCTGCAGTGATTTGATATGCATATTAAGCGCCTCGCTGCCAATACGCATGAAAACGTTGGAGAGATCAGAAGACTGGAGCTGGTTAGCGAGGAGACGAAGTGTGCTGGGGGTAAAACTCTGATGTGATTATTTTCTCTTGGAACTGACATGCTTTTCCTGTGTTTCAGGGGCTGCTGGTGGCCACTATCTTCTGCTTTTTCAACGGAGAGGTAAGCCTACTTCACTGCGGCAAAATGCAGCTTTCCTGTTTATCTGTGCAGACCCAGAGTCTGTACCGCATCCTTTCCCTTTCCAACATAAGGTCAGACACAGAATCAGGTCCCCAGAGTATCATTTGTACATCTCGTAGTCCTCCCTTCAGGCTTGAGTTCAGGCTCTGGATAATTAAAGATGCTGGCTGACGTCCTCGTACACAAATTTGTGAATCGTGCTGCTGAGGAACCGAGTCCAAATTAGCTCTTTGGTTTTGTAAGTAGCTGCTTTATGAGCACTGCATGAAGGCTTGAGTAGATACATCCTGGAAAACGCCACCGGGTCAGGAGTTAATACACTAATTACCAGAGCCGAGGCGGATATGTGACAGCTGGAATGCTGGTTAGGCCGGATGGGTTGCGAGAGAGCATGTCATTAAAGAGTGGGAAGAAGATGATGGTGTGATTTGTCTTTGTATTCTGCTAGACTGAAGCAATTAGCCTCAAGGAATAGATCAAATTTGCACAAATTGCCTTTTACCCTTAATGCAGTTGATCAACTAAGACATGTCTGGTGTCTGCAGTTTGCTTTTTTTGCATGATATGCTGTTATCTATGAAGAAAATATGTTGTTTAGCTGAAAAGAGAAGCAGAAAACACTGTGAAGCCTACATTTTGTCTGTACTTTTGTCAGTTTTTCTAGATAACAGTACTGTATCACAGTATGGCATGCAGTGTTAGAAACCATATAGCTGGCTACGCAAAGAGAGAGAGGACAATTATGCTGTCTTGAACTCTCAGCCACAGATGACTTGGACTTGAACTTGTGATCTCCTTATGATAGCGCAAACTTTTAATGCAGTTATGTTGTAACTGAAGTTTGGGGAGAGGAACATGCCTGAAACCCATCCTTCTTCCAATCTAGAGCCCTCTAAATTCACAACCTCGCCTTCCATTACTGTGACGAAGAGTTCACAATCCCCACCGCCACCCCATCTCCTCCCTGTTTCTCAGTCCTACATCAGTCCTACTACAGCTATGAGAGGGTCTGGCCTTCTTGCTACAGGCAGAAGCAGCAAAGAACTCCAGCCCAAGTTGTCAGAGTTGCCCCCCCCTCCCTCAATCAGTCTTCCCTCATAACACCACCACTTTGAAGCACAGTTATGTCAATTGGAAGCCCTTAAAAAATCCAGTACTCGAAAAAGAATTAGCCAGTTTTATGGTTTAAAATGACCTATTTAACCATTAAAAATGACTTTTTCATTATGTTTTCCACTCATGTGGAAACCTTAATATCAGACATACAGTATGTCAGTTGGGCTGTAGTACATGGGCCATTCTTGAAGAAAATAGGTCATGTTTAACCGGCAGTTACCTTATAGAAAATGTACACAGTTTCCTCCTTACTCCAAATGTAGCCCATCAGCCAAATCATCTTTGTTGTCTGCTTTTTCACTGCTCCTGACACTGTATGACATCTTTTAAATGGTTTTTCATGCAGCTAAAAACAAGTAACTGGACAGTAAGTGGACACGGTGACCCCCCCTCACCCCTGTATCAGACATGATGTTTATTTTTACTGCACATCTACATGCTTAATTGGAGTTTTGGGGGCTTTTTCAGCCAAGCTAACTTCCATCACATCCATGGAGTAACGACAGGCTTGTTGGTCATTGGACAATGCTGGCATGCACACCATTGCCCCCCTACTTTGAGCTCTGCCTTCACGAGACATTTCATTGGTTTAGGAATGTCACTGACGGGGGCTCCCGAGTGGCGCAACCGTCTAAGCGTTGGCCCTATCACCAGGAGATGGCGAGTTCGATCCCTGGTGATGCTACAGCCATCCGTAGCTGGGAGTCCGAGAGAGCACAGTTGGCCTTGCTCTCTCTGGGTGGGTAGGATGGCCCCTCCTTCTCCCCCCCCACACGTTATCTTTATGGCCCTATGAAAGTGTGTTTACATGTACTCAATAATCCAGTCATAATAGGATTTCTTCAGTTGTCTGAATATTCAAAAGGTCATGTAAACTGCGCACTCTGATTTCTAGATCAGTAATCAGATTTCTCAGTGTATGTGAACTCTTACTCTGATTTCTTTCGGATGTCTCTGTCTGCGCATGTGTGGTAACAGACGGCGGTACTGGAAATAAGCGAGCAGCGCCGCTGTGAGATGCAGCAAAGCACTTTTGAAGCGATTCTGAAACCAAACACATGCTTGACACAATGAAAGATTTAAATATTCTTCATTTTCTAGATGATGTAAGTTCATATTTTCAGGTAAAGTGGCACAACGTTTTAAAAAAAAAGTCGCGGCATGAAGTCTGAGTTTTACATTTACGTCACGTCTTCTGCTGTGAGTTTATTGGCTGGTTACAAGGCAGAAAGCCAATTACTGTCTGACTCATGTAGACCCGGAGTTTCCCCATTATCCGATTACTCAAGTGCATGTAAACGCGTTGATCGGATTACTGATAAAATCTGACTTTCTGCAGTTATCGGATTATTAAGTGCATGTAAGCACACTGATTTTTGTGTGGCTCTTTTGTAAACTAGAGTGATAACTGACGCTAACCTTTGCTGGTGCAGGTGCAGGGTGTGTTGAGGAGGCACTGGAACCAGTACCGCCTCCAGTTTGGCAGCGCACTCTCCCATTCAGAGGCGCTGAGATCCGCCTCCTACACGGCCTCCTCCATCACAGAAGTGCAGGGCTGCTACAGCATCGACAGCCACAGCGAACACTTAAACGGCAAAAGCTACCACGAGGCCGACAACGCCGCCTGCAAATCAGAGAGCTCCTTCACCTGAACATGGCCACACCGTTACCATGGCGAGTGTCACATGACTAGACTTCAACGTTTACTAGGCACTCTGGAGGAAGAAAGGAGAGAAAAGTGTTCCTTTGTTATCACACTGAAAACTACCTTATTACCTTACACAGCGGACGCCAGTAAGTGGACACAGTGCCCCCCTACTCACCCCACGGCCCTCAACAGGTAAAAAAACAGAACAAAAAAAAAAAAACGTGCTCTTCATTTGGACTCTGTACAGTATTTGAAGTCGCCTGGCTGCTTTTTAAAGACATTCAAGGCACACATTTTAATCGTTTATAACTTGGTAATGGGCATCAAGAAATTATGATAATATGACTCGATATTTGCCAGGTCGGAATATCGGTGATTGTGATAATTGTGAATTTTTACTGCCAACAGTATGCTATGCTGACATGCGCTGTACACAACGATGCAAAATGTTCCGTTTTTATTGAATCTGTTGTACAGAAAAAATGTCATGTTGTGTTCAGAGTTCAGCATAGTACTGTAAATTACATTATTGTCTTCTATGAGTTATTTTACAGTGTACATATGTCAGATCTGTGGTACTTTTTAGTCAAAACAGTCAAAGATAACAATTCAACTCAAATCTCAATAACAGTGAATGATGCTAACATCTTTAACATGATGTGTCCTAGCATTTCAGAATGTGTTCAGTTGAAGCATCCACACCAAACATACACCTATAGCTGAGTTGTACATATAAGCATATAAAATTGAGTGTTGATCTTAATGGAAGTCACAATATTGTTGTTTTTGACAACGAAGATACAGGAAGTGTACAGAATAATGGAAACATCATATAAAATACTTAATGGCTATTTTATCAGAGACACTTGCCATATAGGTGCAATATACAGGTTTACAGTTACTGACTGTAGGCCATCTGTTGGTATTAACGACCCTCTACCCCATTCTTCATTGGAAAAGGACCACCATAGGACCACCACTGAGCAGGTGTAATTCAGTTGGTGGGTCTGCAGTGGTCCTGTGGTCAGAAACTGAAGGAAACTGATGAAGGACTAGAGGATGACTAACAATCTGTGCCTGGAAAAAGTAGATGAGTCAGTGCTGTTGTGGTCGAGTCTGGTCTTGGACTTGAGTCCATGTTGTCAACTGTCTGGGACTTGCCTTGTAAGTAGTAATTGTAATCAGTCTCGTCTTGGTCTTGGCAACTGGTCTCACCAAATTTAGTCTCTGGTCTCGACCAAAAACAGCCGTACTGCCCCACAGATTTCTAACTGCTCACAAAAACAGCAGTGAAAATATTACAAAATGTAATTCGTCTGGTACTCTTTTGATGTAGGATGAACACAGAGTTGCATCCTTGTTTTTTAAATGAAATAAAAACGACAGTCAAAGCTCTCCTTTAATCATCCCACGTTTTTGGTGGCCGTCTACCACCAGTTTTGATTGACGCCAGTGTGACGATGCAACAGAATTCAGACGCTCGCGGATGAAAAATGTAAACAGGGCTTTATTCACGTTGGACAAAGGCGTGGTCAAAAAACATGCGTGGGTCGTAACCAGAAAGCAGCAAAATATCACCGAAGTGATCATAACCAAAAGCAAACAAAACCAAGGGAGTGATCAGATATCGTCATCAAAAACCAGGCCAGAAAGTCAAAACACAGATCCAAAAACAGTCAGCAAAGGTACAAGAAGGGACAGGCAAAAATCAAGGTCAGTTAAACATATCATAGATCATAGAAACGGTCAGCAAGTTCAAATAGAAACAATACCTCGCAACGACTAAGACTAAAGCCTGGGCTTATAAACTATCCTAGATGAGTCATATGACAACAAACACAGGTGCATGTATTTAGTACTCAGGTGATTGTGAGCACTGATAGGTGCGTGCACGACCATCCAAAGTCATATGATCTCCCGAGGGATTGTGGGCAATGGAGTCCGTTCTGGACTCTGCGCCCGAGGGACGTTGCTCAGTCACATGATCTCCTAATGCATTGTGGGAAATGTAGTCTGAGTCCGCCTGAGGCGTGACAGCCAGTTTTTGAGATTTTTTTCTATTTCAATTAAATACAATCAAAGATATACTTATTAGTTTTTCTTTTTTCTCTGACTCACTGACTCTCACTCAAGCAGCCCAACACCAAATTAGTGCATCTATTTGTGTTTGATTTAGCTGATTAGCATTGGCACTGGTTGGATTAATTCCAAGCAGGCACTGAATGGCAGGAAACTCAGGGAGCTGATGCACGATCATCCTCTCAAAAACTGAGACAACATCCCTAAAATCGGACTAAATTTAGAAAAGGACCATTAGAGCCGTATTCTAAACCGTCAGTCTATACCACAGTTATGTTTGTGAGTGGAGATCATTTATTATGATTTGCATTTGCTGAAGGATTGTAGTTCATTACATTTCTGTTTATTTAAGTATACAATTACATAGTTCAAATTAAGTAATATTGGACTGGAAGACTCTTGACTCGATCTTAACTAGTCACAGTCTTGGGTTTATCTTGGACTTGACAAGGACGGTCTTGGCTCCTCTCCCAGTGTCCACAAAACTCCAGCAACACTGCTACTGTCATACCATGAGTGTGTCAGGCACGCCACTACCATGTCAGCGTCACCACTCAAATAATATCTGGTCAACAGTGTTGCTATGGAGGTCTTTTCCTGTTCAAGGATGGGGTACAGTGGGGGTGATAGTGTGCAGCAATAGATGGGCTACACTCGGTAACTGTAAACTGACAAAGTGCACCTACAGGGTAGCTGTATCTGACAAAATGGCCAATGAGCGTAAGTATTTTCTATTATTTTCAACACCACATGTACATGCAGAGCTAATTGGCTATTACATTTGATCAATCTATATTTCTTAGCACTCATAAGCCTCATATTAAGGCACCGTTATTTAGCCTAAACATTGCAATACACTCCTGCTAGTATTTCAACTTTCACAATAACAGAATATAATGTTAAATAGCTAATAATCAACCTTCATTTACAGTGCAGTGTATTTATTTTATTTCCAGTCAAAACGGTCATTAAGTACAAATTATACATTTTTCAGCATTATTTCAGTGTTTAGTTTGTGACTCTTTATTACAGCTTCCATTCCTTTCCGAAGACTTGCTTTCAGTTTTTCAAAGAAATCTGCAGGGATATTTTTCCACACCTCCAAAGTTGTTGAGGTCTGGACAGTCCATTGTTCAGCTTCTTTGTTTGATGTGTCCGTCTCCTTTTCTCAGTGAGGTTCTTCTTGAACAGCTGCACATCCTTTCAGACCCACAGCGCTGAGTCGTCTTCTCACAGTGGAAGGATGGACAGAAACACCTGTGGATGTTTTCAGATCTGAAGCAGCTTGATTTTCTCCTCTCTCTCAGAGACGAAAGCTTTAAGTGCTGTTTGTCTGATGGGGGCAGTTTTGCTGTCTACCAGGTCTTCCAGGTGGTTGTTAGGAGCCCCATTTTCTCTGTAGAAGAATTCCAGTTGTGGAAACTCACATATTTTCCTTTGAACTTGCACTTATTGGCCGTTTTGACTGGAAAATAAATGAACTCTCTCTGACTTATGAACAGCACTCTTAGAAATCTAAGGACTGAATCAAACTGATTGTAAATTTCTTACATTCCTCAGCTCTAATGTACATAACTCTGGTCTCAAACATATTTAATGTCTGTTACACATTACACATGTATTGTTTGTCTTGGTCTTTGTAAGGACTTGCATTTTTATGAGCATATAATTGTCCAAATGCTGGAAAGAGAACGTGCTCATGTAGATCCTGTAAATATGCGTGTAAATCTTCACTGCCAGAGGTTTTTTGGAAGCGTTTGTGTGAATGAAGTGTGTAAATATTCATTTTTATGCTTCGCTGTGCCAATGACTGAATTCATTACACACAATTTCACAATGCTAAATTATTACTGAGCCCTAAAGTGGTAGAATCAGAGCCTCCCAGCATGAGAATTGCTACTGAAAATCATTGTAGGTCAGCTCCCCACCTTAATCATTAACATTTTGGGGGGGGATTTCAGCTTTAATTTCATAAAACTCCCCGTAGTGCCAGTCACTGTTGTTCGAACTCTTCAGCTGTGGTTCTCTGTCTGTTTTGTTCGTAAAGCTGCATGTGCGTGAGTGTGTTTCTGTGTTTGTTATGTAAAGATGTTCACTGCAGGACAGTTTCTTACTTACAAATATGCATAGTTGCATTTGCATTTGAGGTTACAGTTCAAGAAAACTAGCTTCTCTCAGAGTCAATGTCTGTGTTGTATGTATAATGTACTGTACATATTGCAAGTGTTCTGAAATCCAGTCACGAAGTGGGTTATTTCTGCTGTATGAATGTATTTTTCCCCCCCTCTGGGGTCATCTTTGTGTAACAGTTAACAATTAACTCATAAAACATGGTGTCCAGTGTCTATACTGTCATTTAATTAGAGGAAATTAGCATAAGTTTCTTGGTTGAGTGTTGACGTCTGACTCATCGGACGCAGTTCTTCTGGGTGTCGGTGTAGGCGGGAACACTTTGTCAAAGACACCAGCTATTAGCACAAAATACAGATGGAATTACAGTAATTTGCTGTCCCTGTTTGACGTCAGTTCACGGAACGACGTGCGTCATTCAAGTGCCATAGAAACAGCGGCCATCGAACAGACCCTGCACCTGGTGTGTTTTAATAGGAAAATGGCAGCAGAGGAAACATGACTTTGAAATTGAGGAACAGAATTAAAAGCACCCTAACAGGGTCTCCTTTAGAAGCCCTGCTGTCTGAATCTCGTAACGAGCCGACTGACCTTCACATGCAGTGAACATGCTTGTTTTAGGGTTATGAATCATTTCAGATTCACTTCGTTTTGTTTTTTTTGCATGGTTTTGTAAGCCACTCTGGATCAGCAGGGGTGCTCTTTGCACCTGGGCCCCCATGAGCCAAGGGCCCCGTGAAAATGCAAATTAGATGTACTGAATGTGTTGATGTTAAATAACCTATTCTGAGGTATATATGCATTTTAAAAATAGCTATTATTTGCGATTGAAGCCATTTTTTTCAGTAATTTCAATGCAGCCCCACCCCCGGTCATGCTTATAATGGACTATTCCACGTAGTTACGTCATGACACAACTGCATAAAGACAGACTGGTGTGAACAAGGCAGTTAAGAGATAATCTACATTGTAGAGAGGAAGTTATTTAGTTTGATGATCAGGAAAATCATCAAGTTTTCCAGGTGCAGCAGAGAAATGCAAACAGAGAGAGGAAATGAAACCCAAGGCTAACTTTGTTCATTCAGGCTCAACAGACTATAGATGATGCTGGTGTTAATATTAGTACAGATAGCTTCAGTGTCGGGGTAATAACTCAAAAGTAATCCATCATGAGTTACTAATTACTTCTTTTAAATTGAAATGGGATCACGTTCCTTATACTTTCTGGAAAAAGTTACATTATTACTTTATTTCTACTTTATTCTGTAAAACATTATCTCACTATATTGGTAGATATTTTGCTTGTTTCAAGGATTATTTCTTTAAAAAATTGTCTGCCAATACAGTGAGATATTCACTTAATAAAATGACTCAAGTACAAACATTGGGCCTCATTCACCAACCATTCTTAAGAAGATATTTCTTCTTAAAATCTTAAGTTTTTACAAAGATTCTGACATTCATCAATGTTTTCTTACTTGGGATTTGTTCTTAGGTAAGAAAGACTCTAGACTCTACACTCAAGAGCACAGTGGTGTGAACAGTTCTGCACTTTAAGAACACGTCATGAATCTGACACAGACTTTTTCTTAGGACCTTTCTCAAGAACACGTTTAAGAGAAAACTTATTGGTGAATGAGGCCCCATGTCTAGAAATAGGTTACATATTCTTTCATATTCTTACCACAATCTCAAAATGAGAAATAATACATATGTAATTATAAAAATAATTAATAATATTAATATTAATTAATAAATAATACACGTTAGATTTAAGATGATTTCACTTTTCTTTTGGTGTAGATGGTTGTGCCTGTTTATAAGCGTTCACCCAGGCAGCTCAAAGTCCCGTCTTTTGCCGAGAGCTTCAAAATCACTAAATCCACCCCTGAGGATAAGAGTGTCTGCTGAATGAATAATGTAAACGTCCACTGTAGATCATAGGTGTCCTGCTCCTAGTATGGCAAGACCACTAGAGCCGAGTCCGACTCAAGACCAAGACCAGGAGACAAGGCCAAACTGAAAATAAAAAGAAGAGAAGCAAAAAGCTGAAATTTGTAATTAATTTGTAGTTCATGATAGTTATTACATTCATGATTATTCATCATGTCATAATAAATAATATTATATTTTATAATATATTATAAAATATTGTTAATTACTTTAATGTCATAGGCTTAGTCCAACCTTGCTGTAACGTTCGTAAGCAAATGATGGTGAGGTTTCTTCTCTGCCTTTTATGCTCTAAAACTTATTCAGAATCACCGCCTAAAGTCACTGTAGATGTCATGTCCACTGTAGATCATAGGTGTCCTGCTCCTAGTGTGGCAAGATCACTACAGCCGAGTCCGACTCAAGACCGAGACCAGGAGACAAGGCCAAAACCAGATTGAGATTAAAAATAAAAAGAGGAATAGCAAAAAAATTACATTTATCTGTAGTTCATGATAGAGCATTCATTATCATTCAATATATGATAATAAATAACATTATATTTTATAACATATTACAAAAATATTAGTAATTATTATTACATTATAGGTTGAATCCAACCTTGCTGTAACTTTTGGATGCAAATGATGGTGAGGTTCTTCTCTGCCGTTTATTCTCTAAAACTTATTCAGAATCACCGCCTAAAGTCAAATGAACATAAACCAAACAACATATATTTTTATGAAGTAAATATTCAGGACCAAGAAAAACCACAATAAGCATTATTGCTTTCATTTACAGCCCAAATTCAGTTTCATTAATAATAAACAGGTACAAACTATGTAAGACTGTTTGTACAGTATTTGTGTACAACATTATTATGTCATATAACTACCAGGTAGTAGGTTACCTAAAGTAATTACACAGTGCTGTAGAGTTTGTACCACATATTTACCAAATTAAAGGATGTAAACATTTAGAGTCAGTCAGAGTGGTTTGGTCAGGATTGTTCACAGTGGTGCTGATAGGAACCAGATGTCTGAGGAGTTTAATGCCTCTTAAAGCTCCCTCACAGAAAGATAGTACATGAAATGGTTAGGAATACACTGCCTGATGTCTGAGACACTGTTTTATGATAGTTTTGACTTAAGCTTTTGGGTTGCGATGTATATTTTTTCAAAATCCATTCATGGTGAAGAGGTACATTTACACTTATATTCTTAGATTTTCCATTATTTTACCATCATCAACATCACATATAAAACTCAGACACGTGTTCACTGGTGGTTTTGGATAGTAAATAAAATGACTATATTTGTGTGGTAGACATTGTGACCCCTGGTTCCCATCACCACCACTGTTTCTCAACAAAACCTGATCTCAAAGCAATTTTAAAACAATGTTGTAAAGCCTTCTCTGAGGAAGCTTAAGACACATTAAACTCTTCAGTCGTCTGCTTCCTATTACCATCACTGTGAACAATTCTAACTCTTTGGTTCTCGAAAATGGACCACCCCCCTACAGTGTAGTTACCCCACTGGCAGTTAACAATATGCTGGAAAAGAAAACTGTCAGGCAAAAACTGCTTTTCATATAAAGGAGGAATATAAAGTGTTGAAGCTAAATATTCCCAAAGTATTTGTGCACAGCTGCTTTGCCTAAACAAGACATTTGCAAAT